CGTAGGTGAGTGGGATGTTTGGTTCCACAGAGATGGGGTTGCGTCAAAGCTGAAAGCTCAGACATTGCAAGAAAAATAAGCGTTTACAGGGACAGCTTCATGTCTCACACAGAGCCCCTGAGCTGCGCTGTTGCTCTGCCCCGCTATCGGGGAAGTCTCACGCCTCTTCACTGCCTCTCTCAGCAGGTGCTGGCATGAACAGGATCCGGCTCCACGTGTTGCCGTCCAGCCGAGGACGCCTCACCCCGGTGCCGCGGCCGCAGGAACCCCTCTCGTGCGCCTTCGCCCCCCGGCCGTGCTCGCAGCCGCGCCTGGAGGGGCAGGAGTTCTGCCTCAAGCACATCCTCGAGGACAGGAGCGCCCCGTTCAAGCAGTGCAGCTACGTTTCGGCAAAGAATGGGAAACGGTGTCCCAACGCCGCGCCCAAGCCCGAGAAGAAGGACAGGTGAGTGCCTGTGTGCCCGGCACCACACAGGGTTAAACGGGCAGGAGAACGTCCCGATTCGGCTGCTGTACCTGTGTTACCTGAGTTTCTGAAGCATTTTTAAGCCAGAAAAGGCACAGTGGGTGCTGGGGTCTGTGTGCAGCCGTCCCAGTGCTGCTGTGCCCATGCCCTCTGCCGTCAGGGGTGGCTGCAGGGATCCAGGCCCTTTGTGACAGCTGAGCGTGCTCCTCTGCTCGGCCCCCAGATTTGATTTGGGTTAATCCCCAGTGCAGACGCTGTGGCCGTGTTCTGTGCAGCTGCTGGCCTGGTTGTGCTCCTTTTTCTCTGCCGTGTGTAAATGTGGCTGCTGTGGGGGAAGGACCCAGACCCGTTACTGACATCGGGCAGCGCAGCACGGTTCCCCTTGCAGGAGGATTGACCGTGGTTCACTGAAGTTATGGGGATGCGGGAGCCGTGGTTCTGCCCTTGGTCCCCCTGTGACAAAAAGGACCCATCTGATGTGGCCCAGTGTGAATACTGGGAGCAGAGGAGCTCACCTTCCAGGAAAAAGCTCTTCTCTGTCCCTGTTGCGGTGCCAGAGGTGGCATCTCAGCATCTGTGGGGGTCTGTGAGCCCCCGGGGGCTCTGGGGTGTTTCTGAGCCATGCCTCAGTGTTGGGTGCTGAGGTTTGCAGTGGGGGCCGTGCTCTCCCGGTGTCTGGAGCGTTTCTCAGGTGCTGCTTGTTCACTTTGCTGCTGAGGGCTCAGTGTCACGAGCTCTGGTTTGGCCCCACAGCGCATCTCAAGCTCTGGTTTGTCCCCATAGCACATCATGAGCTCTGATTTCTCCCCGCAGCGCGTCGCTGTGTGCAGAGCACGCCCGCAGGAACGCGCTGGCGCTGCAGGCGCAGATGAAGAGGTCGCACCCGGGCCCCGCGAGCGAGACGCTGCTGTGCCAGCTCAGCTCCTACGCCAGAGCGGAGCTGGGCGCCCCGGCCGCGGAGAGCAGCCGCAGCGAGGCCAGTCGCATCCTGGGTAAGAACCGGAGTGAAAACCGGCGAGAAGGGACCTGTGTTGGGTTTTCTCCGTGAGCTGTGTCCCATGCAGGGTCCCACGCGGGGCCGTTTCCTTTCAGACGAGGACAGCTGGAGCGATGGTGAGCAGGACCCTGTCACCGTGGACCAGACGTGGCGAGGGGACCCGGACAGCGAGGCCGACAGCATCGACAGCGACCAGGAGGATCCCCTCAAGTACGTTGGGCG